TTTTTTTTTTTTTTTTTATAAATGATATAATTTATATATGTTTAAATACTTAAAAAATATATAATTTATTATTATTATTAAATATGTTATTTATTAATAAATATGTTATGTGTAATTAATATATTATATATATTAGTGAAATTATAATTAGTATTGTAATATAAGTTGAAAAATTTGTATAATTATTTAATTAATTAATTTGTATAGTTATATAATAAAAAAATATAATTTATTAATTAATATATTAATTAAATTTTATATTAAAAAAAGTATATAGTTTATAATATATTACATATATAATATATTAATTATAACTAATATATTATATTAGTTATAATTATAACTAACATATATACTTAAGTAAGTAACATATTTAATATATAATAATAAATTATTTAAACATATATAAATTATATATACGTTTTTTCTATAATCAAATATTTATTTATTATATGAATTATATTAGAATTTTTAGATATTATGTTTTAAATTAGAATTTATTATCTTATAGTTAGAATTTAGAAATTATTACATTATAAATTATAATTCATTATGTTATAAAATTTTATTATTATTATGTTAAAACTTAGAAATTATTATTTTATATAACATAATACTAATTATCTCTAACAAAATACTAATGAGTGATGTTATTAAAAATTGTAGTCTCCTTTTTTTCTTAAATCCGCTCCTTTTTAACTCGGTAATAAACTTTAAAATACAAAACAATATTCTTAATTAAATTTGAAATTCATAAATAACAAATTGAACGGAAAAAGTCGGATTCTGTTCGAGCAATTCATTGAGACCGATTAATTCCGTGTGATTAGACCAAATTTTATGACAAGATTGTTTGATACTTTTCTCAGAGTTATATGATTCGTGTGAGTATAATAGTAGGAAAAGCATTCAGGTTCATGTTTAATTAAAGTATTAATGAAAATGTTTTGCTTCATTTTAGTTTTATCCATTTCCAAATGCTATACCACATTATAACTAAACAATTCCATAACAATCAACGTATATGTACTTGGTTTAAAGTAAGTCACAAACATAAGTTAAAATTAACGTATAAACACGACCGAATATCATAATATATCAAGCGCCCCCGTCCCATCTTATTGATCAAGTACAACGTCGATCCCATTGAAATATAACGGAGCGTATAACTGTCTGTAGCGTTGTCTACTGGGGTTTTCTCCTGAATCGCAGCCAAAATTAATGTCGGTTTTGCTTGAGCAGCAGCCATATCACGGACCATCTCTTTAGATGAAGCGCTAAGTCCACTCATCTATCGATGACCCTCGGCAAAGTCATTGTAGATCCTGTCTCCAATTTGACTTTTATCTCAAAAAGGCAGTTGGTCGCTTTAGTTTTCGAACATCTCACAACAGCCTTAGCTAAATCTTCTATACTACCTCTGTAAAGTTCCCCTCGGTGACACCTCAAAACCCTCTGCTTTTCTTCTTTTTTGTGTTTCGAGATGTTCAATTCGAAACCACATATAATTGCAATTTTTTTTGTCTGCTCGATAGCTTCTTCTAAAATAGTAGTAATAAATTCTAATTTATAAGATAATCAATTCTAATCTATAATACAATAATTTATAACTTCTAACATAGTAGTACTACTCAACCACAAATACAGAAGCGCGACTCTCGATCCTCTTTCCTCCTCCCCAACCCTAAGCTCTCGATCCCCTTCAATCTGTATCAATTGGCCTTCCTTAGCGGCGATTGAGTACGAATTGGTGGTCGTCCCTTAGCTGCCTGGCCTCCGCCTGGCTTCACGCGCCGCCCTTGTTGCTCGATTTCAGGTAACCTATCATGTCTCTTATATGGCGTCGGCTTTCAATTGTCGGCTCACCCGTTCTTTTAATCGGCTTTCTTGATCGCAACGATGGTGGTGTGGGTGTGTTCGGTCGGCTGGGTGGGGCCTCGGTTGTTCGACGGCGATGGTGTCGGAAGGTTGGAGCTCCTCTGCGATTTTCCAGCCATGTTCCCCTTACTCTGGCGTTGGGTTTGGGGTGACCCGGTGCTCTGTCTTCCGGCCAGTGGTGATGGCCGAGGAGGGCCAGTGGTGGGTGGGGAATCGTAGTGGCTTCGGGCTGTAGGGGACGTGGCTGCCGCGTCGGCATCTTCGTGGTTCTGGGG